AGGCAGGGGCTCCGGTCATCTGAGAAGGGAGTGAGTCCCTCAGGTGAACAGAAATCTAGGGGCAGGAAGGCCAATGCCACAGACATGCGCTAGGGAGGCTGAGAGGGTTGGGGGTGAGCTCTCCAGCCCCAATGCTCCAAAAGCTGAGACACATGGCTTACCTGACCCCCCCTCCCAGCTCTCAGTAGAGGAGGAGGAGGAGGAAAGAAAGAGAGAGAGGTTAGTCCCCGAGACTGCTCATCAGGGAGGCAGGAGCCACTCCCCCGTGGGCTCCCTGCAGCATGCCCAGCACTGGGGCTTCTGGGCGCCTAAAAACACCCACTGCCTGGATATGGGCGGGCCACAGGCACAGCTCCTCCCAACCCCGGACTCCGGGTTCACCAAGCTCATTGCAACAGCAACGCTGACCTTAGGTAGCCTGGGAGGACTGGGGTGGCAGGTGCAGCCCTGACACCACCACCTGCAGCCAGGAAGGAGGCCTGGTGTCCTGCAGGGCGTACGGTGAGACCACATGATAAGAATTCCCCAAAAGGCGGCGAGGGAGGGAGGAGGGGCGGAGGAACAGAACAGCTGCTGCCCGTGCTTACCTTGATGGCCTGCCCAAAGAAGCCCTTCCCCAGGACCTCCCCGTGGATCAGGTCACACGGCCGAAAGATCTGCTGGGAGTAGCTGCTAGAGCAGCGAAGGGATTCGGAACGGCTGATGTCACGGCTAAACAGCAGGGGTTCCTTTGGGGAGCTGGGGCCGGGGGACTTGGAGATGCTGTTACTGCGCCTGAGGATGAGGAAAGATGGTGCTAGGGATAGGGTAGCCCCCAGAGACTTGCCAGGAAACCCTGGGGGCAGGCACCTCAGGGCTACCCTGTCCTTTCCAACGTATGTAGTTCAGGACCTATGACTGGGGAAGGGGACTCTCATGTCAGACAGAGGTACCATGTGGGGGCTGCAAACATCAGTATTTAAGTACATTCAAAGCGGGAACCCTGAGTACTTCTCACCTGGAATGAATGACTACATGCTACTGGCTCATAGCGCTCAGTACAGGACAGCACGGTAGATGGTGATCCGCCGCCCATGTCTGCTCCATTGGAGGCACTAACGGGGTCACAGTGCCAGCCTACTGCCATCCCCCAAAATGACCACGTGGGATTTGGGATATTCTGCACATCTTTGTATCTGGCTACCTTTCCTACATTTAAAAATAATCAGCGTGTATCATTTCTACAGCAATAAAGCCAGTATGTCTCCATGTTTAAGAGCAGCCGGTCACAGTAATGGCTGGTGACTGCTGCTTTGACTTCCTGAAGGCAGGACGAGACGCTGAGTCCGCGGCACTGAAGGTGGACTGCAACCCTGCAACCTCCTCTCCGGGGACACACCTGTGTCACTGGGCTTCCCGGCAAGGACGGCCCGCAGCTTCCCAGCCCCTGCTCTTCCGCCCCGGCTCCTGCCGAGTGTGCCAGAGGGGCACCCCAGGTGAGCTGGCCTCTCTCGTGCATGACGGCCCTCTAGGTATCTGAGCAGCTCCCTGGCCACCCCCACCCACACCTCCCTCTTCCCAGGCCTTCTCAGCCCTCTGGCGCCGGGCCGCCACCAGCTCGCTCATGCTGACTGAGGCCAAGAGGGCAGCCAGGAGTGACAGGAGCCACCTGTCGGGGGAGGGCCCTATTTCCAACAGACGCCAGCCAAGAGGGCCCTGAGCGACTTGGCCTGTTTGGTCAGGAGGGCGGATCAAGAACCTGACTCCCAGTAACACTAACAGCACCTCGCCTTTGCTGAGTGCTGACACTGGGCTGCTCTGCATCCTTGCTGACACCGAGTCCTTACATAACTGGGGAGACAGCCACCTTTATCTTGCGACTCCACCTCACAGATGCAGACAGAGGCCAGGCGAGATGGAGCGATACGCGAAGGGAGGCAGCTCAGCTAGAAGGTGCCGTCGGGGTGTGCCTGCCTGGAGAGCCAGTGCTCCAGCTCCTGCTCTCTCAGCCTCCCCACATACTTGGTTTTGGTCCCTCAAATCCAAAACAACTTGCATTCCTCCTTGTTTTATAGTTTTCAACATCCTTATTTATGTTTCTTAATCCTACCTGTGCCCCAACTCCAGCCCCTAAGCTCTGTGTTTTCCCCTTAGGCCACGCTGCCCTTCGGGGTCCAGCTCAGGAGTGCAGTGGACAGTCTGACCCTCTGGTTTCTATGGGAACCTGGCCAACAGCTGGGTTAGATCGCGCACAGGTCCTGGTTATGAAATTGTGATCTCCCTGCGGGGCGCTGGGTCAGCACAATCCTCAGAGCCAGCCCGTCTCTGGCCAGCTGGTTCCCTTCCTGACTGCCGGTCTCCGAAAGCCAGCTCTGGCTCATCGGAGGGACAGGCCTGGGGCAACACGGAACCAGGGTGATGGGCGTGGGCACCTTAGGGAACGTCTCCTCAGAGTCCCTTCCAGGTTCTCCTTGATGTCCAGGGTGCTGAGGGTGTGCGAGTGCCCAGCATTCTGCAGGTGGGGAGAGAGCCGTGCATCCAGCCGCAGCTGGTCCAGGCGCTGGGAGACGGGGTCGTGTTCAATCAGGAGCTGAAGTGTCTGGCTCGTCTGGCTAATTGCATCCTCTACCTGCGGCCAAGGAGCAGCGTCAGGCTGGATCCCACCGGCTGGCTCCCCCCAGGCCACCCACCGTCAGCCCAGAGGATCCAAGCACAGTGTGGCCCAGGCTCAACTTGGCTAACAGTGGCCTCCAGATGCCAGTACCCCACAGTGCCCTCTGCCTGGCATCCTGTCAGCTTCCCCATCTGTCAGGCCATCCCTGCAGCCCTGGGGACATGCCAGGCTGACACAGGAGGTCACCAGTGGTCACAGGCTCAGTGGCAAGACAAAGAGATAGACGAGGGGTAGAGAGGGGTGAAGGTCACAGTGTGATCTCCCAGGGGGTCTGTTCCATGCCCCACACCCATAGACAGACTGGACACACACTCTACCTCCTCTACGCGCAGTGTGCGGACGGGGGTCCCATTGATCTCCAGGATGCGGTCCCCAGGGTGGATGGCATTGCGGTTGTTGGGACTGATATGCATCCGGTTGACCCTAGGACCAGACGGGAGTTGAGGCGGGTGAAGGAATCCTAAAAACAAGGCTGACCAATTTCACTTGTGCAGCGAAGAGTCACCTGGCCCCCAAGGCCCAGGCCATGCACAGAGAACGGGCACTCACCCAGTGGCCTAAGCCAGAAACTTGGGCGCCATCCTCCCCATCGGAGTTTCCTCCCTGCCCCCAACCCTCACCATCTTGGAGAACCCTGCCTTCTCTCCATCGCCATAGTTACCAACGTCTCTCACCTGGATCATGCAACAGCCTCCTAACTGGTCTCTACATCTCTAGGCTTGCTCCCCTCCCACCCAACTTCCACACCCTCGATCCTTCTAAAATGCTAACCTGATTGCATCACTTTGTTGCTTTAATCCCTTAATAGACCTGCTGAGTCTTCATAATCCAGGCCCTCCATGACTTAACAACTCCCTCTCTGGCTACTCCCAACCACCCAACCTATACCAGACACAACCACACACTCCTACCTCTGCCCCGAACACAATTCCCTCCCCTCTTCATCTAATGAGGCTTTGGAGCAGACCTCAGCTCTTCCTGTCTTCCCCAAACCTAGTAACTCTCACCTACACTGCAAGCACCCAGTGCGCAGCACACCGTTAAGTGCACAATCACGATTGTACAGAGTTAGCAGCCACAGGCGCCTCATTACTGGTATTGAGGGGGACACAGACTCCTTCCCCAGCTGATCTCTGGCCTGGACCTAGGGTGGAGTCTTAATCTCTTTCTCCTCCCTCCGTTCATTCGCTCAACCAACAAAACAATAATCAATGAACACCTACCATATGCCAGGCACTGTTCCAGGCCCTGGGCATGCAGTACTGGACAAGACTAAGACAAGTTCCAGAAGGAACTCGTGGAGAGGACAAATGATAAACAAACTAATACACATAATCAAGCCAGATAATTTCAAAGAGTTAACATGATCTGACACTTGACACGTGAAGGCTGAGTGGTTCCGGCATTAAGTATCTGGGGGGAAGCAGCCTGGGCAGACAGCACGGTAAGTGCCAAGGCCCAGGTGTGGTTACAGCATAGTGAGCGCCAGGAGGAAGACAGAAGATGAGGATGGAGGGGGCTCAGCATAAGACTCGAGTTCTGAGCCCCTTTGAGGCCCACCTATGGCCTCGGCTCAAGACGCCCTGCTCTGGGGTTCTCAAAATACTCACTCTTTTACTTGCACAGAGGTGGCGTAGTTGGAGCAGGCGCTCTCCACGGACACGGAGAAGCCCCGCCGGCTCTCGGTGGTGGCTGGCATGGAGATGTGTGTGACGGAGTAGGGCAGCTGGTCCTGAACAGACTCCGTGGAGAGCCTCTCAAACATGGGTGCCAGCACCACCTCATTATGGCACTTCCCACTGGGGAGAGGAGCAGGAAGGGGGCTAAGGTCCCGGAGGCCCCCCCCGCCCAGAAGACCCCAGCAACCATTGCACCATGTGACTTCAAGCAATAGGACCCACAGCCCCACGATTACTGTCCCAGACATGATCCCGCTGGCCGCTCGAAATGAGAAGCCTGGGTTCTCTTTGCTCTGCCTCCGACCCACTGAGAATCCAACCCCTTCCCCTCTCTGGGCCTCAGCCCAACTTCTTTTATCAAAGGAGACAGTTGGACGGAGTGAGCTCTAAGGGGCCTTTGCCTTTAATGCTCTGGGGTCCTCTGAGAGTGACTTCCTAGCCATTCTCTCTCTCTGGGAGGACTGCAGGGCAGAATGTCGTTACTCTCACAGTAGGTAAAGGACAGAGGTCAGAGGGATGCTAATTGTCGTGCTCACAGCTTACAGAACAGGCTAAGAACACTGCTGTGACAGGAAGCCAGTGCTCTGATACCCCAGTAATCTTTCCGCCCAACTCATGCTGCCCCTGTCCCTCTCTCGGCCATTCTTATAGGGGAAGGTAGACACAGGGCCAATGTCTTACCAGTAGAGGGTGGCGTGCTGCACCAGGGCATATGCGTCCCCATCCTCGATGATCACCTTGCAGCTCATACAGGCAAAGCACTCTGGGTGGTACTTGAACTCCCCGGCCACCTGGGAGCAGGTGGGGAGAAAGATGGACAGATGGAGAGAGTGAGTCCTCGCTGTTGCTAGAGTGAGGGCAGAGGTGGGTGAGTGACCTCCGATCAAGGATTTGCAGATACCGGCAAGAATGTTCCTTTGCACTTCCTGCCCTAGAGCTTCTGGAGGAAGTGCCAGACTGGTGCCCCCCTATCATTTTTGAGATTGCAAAAAACTGTTTTGGTCTCAGCCATGAGACCAAGTCCCCAGGAGTAATCATCCCCATTAGAAAGGCTCACAGTTTCTCCAACACAGAGCTGGCAAATCTTCGACTAGGCTCACAGCCCTTTGTCTTAGAGCAGGCAGGGGAGGCGGAACTCTCTCTGCTAGCTCATTCCAGGGTCTCCCTTTCTGATTTCCTGGCCACGGCTTGGGTGTTTGTATCCTCCTCTCAACCTGTAACTCTCTCCTTTAAGGCTTTCAGCCCATTGTGTTGTGTCTCCTCCGTGCCTGCCTACCCACCCACACCCAACACTGGCTTGTTAAGTCTTTGAGGGTAGGATCCCACCTGGCACTATTTCATAGGTGCCCAACAAACACCTGTTAGATGATGAAATGAAGAGAGAGGCCTTGGCTGATGGAAAGACCAGAAGGTGAATGACCACAGGGAACTGGAGGCTCGGTCAATGGACTCTGGTGGCCACGAGGAGCAGAGATGGAGGGACTCACTCACCATGACAGGCCCGGTCATCAGCAGAGAGCACCCGTGGCAGAATTCCCCAAATTTCCTCCAGTAGTCCTTGTGGCAGTACAGCTTCCCGTCCTTCTCGTAGTACCAGTTGGTGAGGGACTCCTGGCATTCCGAACACCTGGGAGGCAAGATAAGGAGTCTCTCCTGGATTCTCGGAATCCACGTTTCTCGGATCCCGTGTTTCTTAACCTGTCTGGGTCTTGAAACGCTTTGAGAATCTGATTAAGAGCCAAGAAGCCTCTCCCAGAAAAAATGCACATCCAAGGAAAACGTGTATATCAAGGATTGAAGCCTAATCATGGCCCCAGGTGAGAACCTCTGGGCTAGACAGGTATCTCGAGTAACCAACGAAGTTCGTTCACCTCCACTTTTCAAAATGTACCCTTCGCCAACAGCATGACTGATATGGCATTCTTTCCCTCAAAATATTAAGCTAAAGAAACAATTAGCCTGTCCAGTGTGACTCAGTGGTTGAGTGTCGACCCATGAACCAAGAGTGGTGTTTCTATCTCTCTTTCCCTCTTGCTTCCTCTCTCTTTAAAACAAAATAAATTTTAAAAGCCATATTATTTTTTTTAAAAAAGATACAATCAGACAAACCTAAAATGTGAATCACTTGGTAAGACAACTGGGCTTGACTCTTCTAAAAAATTAATGCCGTGGGGAGTAGGGGCTACAGAGATTTAAAATGCCTAGACACATAGCAACTAAATGCAATGCCTAAAGCTTGGATTAAAAAAAACCCCACAAAAAAACAGCTTTGAGTGACATTTTTGGAACTGAGGAAATATGAATTTGGACTATACATTAGATTATATTGTGAATTTACTGTCAATTTTCTTAGATATAATAACAATATTTTGGTTACACAGAAGAATTCTTAGAAGAAGCACATTAATTACGGGTGAAAGTCAAGATAACTACAACTTACTTTTAAACAGTTCAGCAAAAACAAATAAATACTGTGGTGTGTATAGACAGATAAAGTGGCTTAAAGTTAACAAATGATGAATCTAGGTGAAGGGTACATGGATATCCTTGAACTACTCTTTCAACTTTTCTTCTTTTTTTTTTTTTAATCCTCCCCCGAGGATATTTTTCCATTGATTTTTTTTTTTCTTTTAAGAGAGAGTGGAAGAGGGCAAGTTAGAGAGAAATATCAATGTGGGAGAAGCACATCAATTGGTTGCTTCCTGCACGTGCCCCAACCAGGGCCAGGGCCGGGGAGGAACCTACAACCAAGTTACGTGCCCTTGACCGGAATCGAACCTGGGACCCTTTGGTCTGCAGGCCGACACTCTATCCACTGAGTTAAACCAGCCAGGGCTCTTTCAACTTTTCTATGTATTTGAAAAATTTCAAAATTAACATATTGGGGGGCAGGGAACAAACTCCATTAGCACTGTGCTCGCTGTATAAGACCCATGTATGTAGCTCCTTTCTCCTCCAGTCCCCTGAAGCTCCGCCTTGGTCAGGCCAGGTATGTGTTCTCAGGCCATGTCTGCACAGACGAGGTCCTCCTCATTTCTGAGCCTCCTCGCTAAGAGCTCCCTGGCCTGCCGAGACCGGCTCTTTCCTTCTAGTTAACAGACTCTCTATTCCTGTTAAGGCCTCACACCACCAGCACTGGCCACACCCCTGCTTCCCAGAAGCGCCGCCTCTCGGTTTGAATCCTGACCCTGGATTAGTTTTAGTTATGTCATCTTGGGCAGGTTATTTCACTTCTCTAACCCGGTTTCTTCATCCGTAAAATGAAATGCTGTGACAGTGAAATCATAGGTATCGAAGTGCACGTCGCTCATATAAAAGACCTAGTACAGTAGGGACTCAGCAAGGGTTAACTATGAAAAAGGACGGCAGTGGTAGCTCACATTGCTGGTCACTGACTGCCACTAGCTAGATAGCTCTGGACAACTCTCAGTAATTTTTCCTTATTGACAACAGGGGACCAGCGGCATCCAACTACAAAGAACCAGTGTGAACACTGGATAAGTTAATGTTGAAGGAAAGCCTTTTGCACACTGTGAAGGGTAAGACAAGTGTATTACTAGAGTGATTTGCTAGGCACTGCAGGTCTAAAAGATAAATAGACAAGGTCCCATTCCACCTTCCAAGAACGTATAATGAGCTGGAAAAGAAAATGTCTAAACAAAACTCAATTTTAACAATGCCAGGCGAGCGTCCACGGAGAGCACTACTACTTTTAAGCACTGCGGGAGGTCGAGGAGGGGGACAGGAACGACTTGAAGCAGCTGGAGAAAGGAAGGAAAGGGAGACGTCTGTGGAGCGAGGGAGGTCTAAGAAGCAGGATCCTGAGAATCCCTCCTTGTGGAGGATCCAGTTCCCCTAGGTACTCAGCCCACACTGGTGGCTTCTGCCATCAGCCACCCCCATCCCGTAGCATTTCCTGCTTGTCCTATCATGCTGAATTTCAGGGTGTTGGGTGCTTAGTATGGCATCAGGAGTACGGGTATGAAGTGCCTAGAATGGTGCACTGAAAACCAGGCATTATAAGAGGTCAAGGGGAAGACCCCTTTCTGGGCATGCGGCTCACACTCCTCTCCGTAGAAGGCACCGTGGATGAACTCTGAATCGGGAAACCCGGGTTCAAGAGCTTCGGTGCTACATACTCTTGGACAAGCCCCGTTCCCTCTCTAGGTTAAGTTTCCCCACCTGTAAAATGTAGACTACACCACAGATCCCCTCGATTCTGTGCATGTATGTCTTCCCCTGGATGACCCAAGGTTTAAACCTCAGTACCACCGCTGACCACCTAACTCAGTGGTTCTCAACCTTCCTAATGCCGCGACCCTTTAATACAGTTCCTCATGTTGCGGTGACCCCCAATTTCATTGTTACAAATTGAACATAATTAAAGCATAGTGATTAATCACAAAAACAATATGTAATGACATATGTGTTTTCTGATGGTCTTAGGCGACCCCTGTGAAAGGGTCGTTCGACCCCCAAAGGGGTCGCGACCCACAGGTTGAGAACCGCTGACCTAACTGATCTTGGGCCAGCTGCTTCACTTCTCGTTTGTGACATGGTAACATCACCACCTACCTTCAGGGTACGATTAAATGAGGTTCTGCATGACCATGAGGTGCCCAGCAGAGGGCCCGCATTAGAAGGAGGGGCTTCCTTCTTGCCTCCCACCTTCTGGGTACCTGTCTTTCTTTACTAGACTGTGAGCTCCCTGAAGATGGGAACAGTCTCCCATTTTACCTTGGTAGACTCAGCGCCCAGCAAAGGGCTTGAGACAGTCAGTAAGCCCTTAGCAAAGGTTTTTATGCTGGAAACAGTGGGAGTGGCGAGACCCATCATCGGACCAGGTGGGAGCGTGACGGTTCTGTGGCTCATGGTCACCAGGTCCTGCCCGTCTCGTGGCTTCCGTGGAGAAAAGCCAGCGCAGACGTATTGGCACCCAACTGCACGCCTAGGCCCTGTTACGTCCTTGTAATGGCATGTGCGCTGCAGGGCACGGGAGCACCAGAACACGTCCTCCCTTCCATTGCCAATATCCTGCTTTTGTTTGCTGCAAGTGCCCCGGCCAGGCCCAGGAGAGGGAGCCGTGAGGGAAACGAGTGCAGGCATGCAGGCGAGAGACGTGCCAGCCTGCTGGGGAACGACATCACCAGGGCACACATCTGTGCCTCTGAGAGGCACTGCCAGCAGCGTGGCCAACGTGGGTCGGGTCGCCGCAGGTGTCTCTGAAGAACAGGGAGGTGAACAGCTGACAGGAGGCCTGTGGGTCCCCAGGCTGTTTCGCTGCAGAACAGAACACAATGGCTTCTTTGGCCACTGGAGGAGTGGCCACTGCAGACTTGCCGTCCTAGCTTAGATGATTCACAACAGCTCCTGTTACCTGTTACTCGAGCGCCAGCCATATTTCAGGCCCTCTAGGAGGTGCCTCACTTACACACTCAGATTATCTCTAATCCTGACCACCACACCCTGCAAGGAGATAGGATTATCCCTGTGTTACAGACTGGAAGGCTGAAGAACAACCAGGTCACTTCCGCACGTCCCCTGACACTTGATGGAGCGGGAGTCTGAACCCATGTGTTGGCTCTGAGGCCATGTCCACCGGACTACATCACCCATGAGGCAGCACAGCTACCAGGCAGGGCCTCAGGCTCCGTGTCTGTGAAAATAAGAGGCTGGGGCCCTGGGAGCTCAAGTCCCTTCAGTGTTAACACTTCATGAGGCTTTTCCTTGAGCCCAAGTACTCATGTCATATGGCACGACGCTCCTCCTTCACTTAGTCTACAGCATTATGTTCCCCAGCAGCCTCTGCCCTTTTAAGAAAAGAACCCAAAACACACTCTGGAAATGTAAGGTGCTACTCAAAACAAACAAACAAACAAAAAAACCCCACAAAAAACCAAAAATCCCACCTCAGATTCTCAGAAACCGCCATGTGGCCACAATGTGTCCTTCCCAAAGCCAAGGTTTTTTTTGTTTTGTTTTTTATATTTTATTGATTTTTTTACAGAGAGGAAAGGAGAGGGATAGAGAGTTTGAAACATCAATGAGAGAGAAACATTGATCAGCTGCCTCCTGCACACCCCCTACTGGGGATGTGCCCGCAACCAAGGTACATGCCCTTGACCGGAATCGAACCTGGGACCCTTCAGTCCGCAGGCCGACGCTCTATCCACTGAGCCAAACCGGTTAGGGCAGCCGAGGTGTTTTTCGAAAGTTTCAAGAGAAAGTGAAAATCTGCCCTGGATGCAGGCCCCAGGGCACCCAGCTTGGAGGTGGGGTGCCCTGCAGCCAGGGCCAAGCATGGTCACTGCACTCTTCTGAGCAGCCAGAGTGAAACCCTCCAGCCAGGGGAGAGCACCACGAGGCCCCCACGCACGGAGGACAACCTCGGAGTGCCTCTTCTAAAGCACCAGAGGCCTGGGCAGCCACCCAGCGAACCAAACCCTGGCAGCCAGCTCAGCGGGCAGCTCAGATCCAAACTGAGGTATTCTGCATCAGCGGGGAACTGGTGTAAATTTCACAGATTTCAAAAAAAGATAACCAGTTCAGGTTCTCACAAATCACTCGTAAGGTCCACGGGTCCATGTTCCTTCTTTGCCATTTACTGTGTGTCACCTAAAGCCAGTTACTTCATGACTGAGCCTCCGTTTCCTCCTCTGTACACTGGTGATGATAAAATCTCATGGGGTTATGAGAATTAAATTATTACGGACGAATGCCTAACATGATGCCTGGCCCATAGCAGATACCCTGTAAGAGTTCATTTCCCTCCCACTCTCCTTTTTTGGGGGGTTAATCCTCACCTGAGGATATTTTTTTCCCATTGATTTTTAGAGAGTAGAAGGGAGGGAGGGAAGGGGGGAGAGAAACATGGATGTGAGACATCCATTGGTTGCCTCCGCACATGCCCCAACCAGGGCCGGGGATCAAACCTGAAACCCAGGTACATGCCCTTGACCGGGAATTAAACCCATGACCCTTTGGTGCACAGGGTGATGCTCTAACCACTTAGTCACATGGCCAGGCCTTTCTTTCTTTCTTTTTCTTTTTAATATATTTTTCTTGATTTGAGAGAGGGAGAGAAACACCGATCAGCTGCCTCCTGCACACCCTCTACTGGGGATCAAGCCCCCTGACCAGGAATGAAACCTTCGCTCAGCCAACTGACCTGCACCGGCCAGGCTGGACCCCTTTTTATTTGAGAACACCAAGGGTGAACGGAGACAGATCCCTTTTCCTCTCATGCCCAAGCAATATGGACCTGCTTCTTGGCCCAGAACCAGATTTTTGTGAGTTGAGAAGATCCTAAAATGAATTATTTATCCAGTCAATTAGAAAATCGATAGATTCTAATCAGTTCCTATCAATTAGGAAATAGTTACTGTGCACCTTGGATGTGCAAGACCAAACAGGCAAGTGACTACGCTGGGAGATGCCAAGGGAAATATGATAGACCCAGTCCTCACTCACAAGCAACTTATTCAGGCCAAATGTTTGCAGGTACATTTTCAACCTCATGTGGTAATGGAACCAAACAGTCATTATTACACTGGATGTACACAGGCTATAGAACAAGCTCTCCCATGTCTCACATCAATGTCTCCCTCTCTCCCTCCCTCTCCCTGAAATCAAGGAGGGAAAATATCCTGGGGCCTGGCCAGTGTTGCTCAGTGGTTGAGCACTGACCTATGAACCAGGAGGTCGTGGTTCAATTCAGGTCAGGGTAATGCCTGGGTTGTGGGCTCGACCCCCAGTAGGGGGCATGTAGGAACAGTCAATCAATGATTCTCTCTCATCATTGATGTTTCTATCTCTCTCCCCCCCTCTCTGTGTGTGTATATATATATATATATATATAATTTCCTCTAAATATGTTAGACAAACGTCACTCCTTAATTTACCTCTTTTGTAAATTCCAATTTGAGGTGTTTTCTTATTGGGAGCCCATGTGTCACTGCACCTCACCCCTGACACGAGTGGCACTGGCAGAGGAAGACGGTGCACTCGGCCGAGCACCACCTGCCCGGGTGCAGGAATTACATTCTTCATTCCCGGCTCCCTCTCCCCCTCCTTGAGGCTGTCACGCCTCATCATGTCTCCGTGGAATCTGGTTTCATCATTTTCCTTGCAACCACAGCCTCAGAAGTCCTGCAGACTCTGTTCTCCCCCAGAGGCCTGGGGTCAAGGACATTTATTTGTTCCAGGGAATCCGGCAAGGGTCATGATCAGAAGCCTAGGAAGTGGAGGGAGCCCCCCTATGCTCTGCAAAGGAGAAAACTGAGGCCCAGGGAACGGACAGGGACTTGGTCAGGGGTCGGCCCTTGCAGACACCCTGTAAGGAAGGAGGGGGCTGATGGTGGGAGCGGCTTTCTGGTGACTGATAAGACTGATACCTGGGAGAGCGGAGGGTCTGGGTGGTCCCCCCTGTGGGGCACAGAGCCCAAAGTACTGGCTGTCACTTTGGAAGTGGCTTCAGGAATGTGGCCTCTCTTTTGGGGGAGGGGAGAGGGTCTATAGTGAGTCAGTGAGTCAGTCAGCACCCCCCACCCCCAGCTGGGCAAACAGAGCTGGGAGAGGTGGGGGTTGTCAGGGACAAAGGACAGGAAGACCAGGGCGGCATCGGCAGCCTGGCCCTCAAAGGTCCAGGTTGGGAGTTCATTATCTGCTCTAGCTCCTGAGAAATGTGGTCCTACCCCCATGAGATTAAAAAGGGCCCAGCAGCCTGGCTCCTAAGGGGACAACTCCTCCCTCAAAGTGCCTGTCCAGGATTAAGAGTAAAAGGGATTAATGAGGTCCCGGCTTAAACTAGTGGCTACTTCAAACACTTGGCACCCTGACTCCACCTGGAAAAACCTGCCTCTAAACTCAAGATCAATTCCCAGCTGCTTTTTTTTTTTTTTTTGATCCTCACCCGAGGATATTTTTCCATTGATTTTTAGAGAGAGTGGAAGAGAGAGGGAGAGACAGAGAGAAACATCGATGTGAGAGAGACACCTCGATTGGTTGCCTCCTGCCCGAGCCCCGACCAGGGCCGGGGCAGGGAGGAGCCTGCAACTTAGGTATGTGCCCTTGACCAGAATCAAACCCGGGACCCTTCGGTCTGCAGGCCAACACTCTGTCCACTGAGTCAAACCGGCTAGGGCCCCATCTGCTCTTAAGAAAAGAATCTCTGCATCCCTTTGATATGCCAGGCAAGCTCTCTGTCCTCTCTGCTGGGAGAGGAAAGCAAACCTAGAGCACCCCTGGGGGAGGTACCAGCCTTCAGATGATGTGATAAACGGAGGAAGATGGAAAGGCTGGCCAGGGACTCCACATGTTAACAGTTGAAACCAACTGCCTCATCTGAGAAATGGGGTCATTGAGAGATCAAACAATGAAGTGCCCAGCAGGATGCCTGGTAGAGTCAGCACTGAGGACCAGTCTCCCCCCCCCCCCCCGCCCCAAATCCAGAGGTTTCCCACCACTTTACCAGGGTCCAGTAGTTCCGTGAAACCACATGGAGTTCTGCTTTTCTGCCCAGAGCCTGGCCACCTGACTAGTATCCTAGCACCGAGTTCTGGGCATGAGGCTGGGCAGGGGAAGCCAGAAGGGAGAAGTGGACCAGGACCACTGGTGAGGGGGAGGCAGCCCGTGGAACAACAGGCTGCTCCCAACGAATGAAAACAAGCCCCACCCCAGCCAGGAATGACTCCATTCAAGGAGGGACCCCGAGGGCCACTAACCCTCTGGGGAGTTTCTGTTGGAGGTGGGGTGGGGCGGAGAGCAAAGAAAGGCAGATGTGAGGTAGTGAGAAAGTTTCTACACCTCCCTCCCCTCCCAGGAGCTCCACGGACAGAGAGCCCCAGAGGTACTCAGGCCGAGACCCGGCATGCGCGGGGGCTGCCCTTGCAGCTCGGGAACATTCCAAAGCCAATTGTCCCTGTCTGGGAAGAACTTTCCCAGGCCTTTCCCTAGCAACTGTATTCACCTGGGAGCTCAGGAGCCCTTCAAGGCCAGAGGCAAATGTGCTTGCCATTAAGAATGCCTACTGTATACCAGGCTGCCCACACCCAGATCCTGTCAGCTTCCATGGTTTTGGCAAAACCTGTCCATCCTGCTTGTTGGGACAAATTCCTGGGCAGGCAGCACAGCCTGCAGGTAACATGCGAGCTGGGAGAACAGCACCCTGTTGGGGCTCTTCCCCGGAAGCAGTAGCACCGAGAGCAGGCAGGTCAGCAGCATCTTCTGGAAGCTGCGCCAGGTGTGTCTGGGAGGGAAGGAGGGCCCACGTTCCCCGGGAGCTTCTTTCTGGGCAGATCCCTCACCTCGCCGTTGCCAGAACAGATTCGACTGGCTTCTGCCTGACAGAACCGATGGTCAGAGGAGGAGTGAAATCGGAGCAGCAGATTCAGGGAGGACTCTGCCCTCCCTTCAGGACCAGGGGGGCGGGGGGCGGGGGGCAGAAAAGAAGATGGGGAGGGAGGGACTCAGAGCTCAACTCACCGAAAGGGGTCTCTGGAGGTGAAGTAAGCCGAGATGGACAAGTAACTCCCCATCTTCTTCCCACACCAGACAAACAAGCTCAGCTGCAAACCCGTCTGGGAGCGCCTCAGGCCGGCTGCAGTCGGCCACCATGACAGGCCCGGGGCTCCCGGCACCTCTGGCTGCGGGCCGGCTGCCCAGCGCTCACCTCTCCCTCCGGAGCAGCTGAAGAGGCGTGAGGACTCTTGCCTCCTGCAGATTCCCGAAGGGGCTCATGGCAGGGACGGTCCCCCCCCTCCCCCGGCCCCAGCCCAGTTCTCAGCAGCTCCGGCGGCCCCTCAGACTCCGGGAGGACCACCTCTCTGCGGAGGCTACACACACACAGGCATTCTGGGGCCGGGCCGGTGACTAGCTAAGAAAGAGGCGCTGCTGTCAAGTTAGCCTTCCCCCTCGGCCCCACCCCTGATGAGGGAGGGAGGGAGGAAGAGGAGGGGCTCCTCGCGGAACCGAGGTGTGTGGTTGGAGCAGCTATTAGGAAACAGACCTTGCAGGCAAGGGGTGGAGCTGGGCTGAAGGGAGGCTGTAGGCAGGCGCCGCTGCAGACAATAACCAGGGCCGGCTGAGCGTCCATCCCCGAGCCCGGGGCCAGGGCAGGGCAGGAGCGAGGGTGCGCACATCAGCCCCCACGTTTCCCCAGCCCGAGAAGCCGCCCAAAGGATGGTATCGCGGCTCGGAGGTGCAGAAAAAGCCCAGGATACCAGTTCCAGGCCAAGCCACGCCCCCAGGAGGGGGGCTGGGCTCTCTGGCCGGAGAGACAGGTCCGGAGAGATGCCCTCTGGGTTCTGGCATCGCCTTGGTCCTGGCACTAGGCTCCCCATTCATCCCTTCCCACTGCCTGGCCTGGGGACAACTCCCAGAACTGGCCGGCGGGGCTGCCACTCCTCTTCTGGGAAGATCTGCACCGAGGATGAGGAAACAGGGCCCGGTGGTAACTGACACTTGACGTTGCTCCATGTGGCAAGCGCTGCATAAGCACGCTCTGAGGTGGCAATGACCTCCACTTTAGAAATAGGGAAAGTTTTCCTAAGGCCAGAGAAGCCAGTCAGCGGCGGGGCTGGGATTTCACGTGACTCCGGAGCCAGAGCCAGAGCCCTCAGCCTCGGGAACGTCTCTCTCCACACCCTTCTGCAAGTAGGAGCGAGCACAGGGACGAGAGCCCAAGTCACCTGTCCCCCCTCTCTCATTCATTTGCTCGTTCCCAGAATGCCATCCGTCGGCCGTAGTGGGCAGCGGTGCTTCTTTGTGTCCATGGTAACCAGGCCTCTCAAACTGTTGGTATCTGGAGTGGAGGCTTGCCTGAAGCCCCAGGGATGCCCAATCCAGAGCCCACCACTGGAAAAGCCCTTTATCCCCTGCCGATAGGACGATGGAGAGAAAAGGCAGGGCTGCTGGAGAGGACTAGGGCACGGCCAGACCTCGCGGTTGAACTTGAGGGAGTGACACCAGCTCTCTCCCACCGGGCGCAGACTCCTCTCCACTGAGGTCACCCTGTCACCGTGACAGGAAAGTGTGTGGCAAAGGTGGTGGTGACTGGATTACAAAGGAGCCTTTTCCCATTCCTCTACTGATTGGGCACAGGGATAACAATGAATGTGATAAGATAGTGTTTGCACCCTGGTATAAGCTACCACGTATTGAGCACTTAATATGTTTCAGGTCCTGTGTTACAGTCTCTGAATCTATTTTTCAAAATATTTTTATGGCGGTAAAAATACATATATATATTTACATATATATATATATATGTGATGTTACATTTGGCATTATAACCATTTTTAATGTACAACCTGGTGGCATCAGTGACATTCATAATATTGTGCAACCATCACCACTATTTCCAAACCATTTTCACCACAATAATCTCTTATATTTAAAATGCACTTGTCCTTTGATCCTCCTGGGCAGCTCCTCTACCCTATCCCAGTCCAACCCCTTGCCTGTCAGTTCTCTCGTCCATCACAGTTCTTTTTGTCTGAACTCTAGTTGATGTAGCCAATTCCCAGTGGGTTCTCAGGACTCAGGGCCAGTGGCTTCAAGGTGCACAGTCTTCCTTGAGTCTGGTCCTTGTTGGCCCTGCAGTGCCCTTGGGGTCACCCTGGTTGCAGTCACAGGGCTATGTCTGAGGTATGGGAAGGTGGGTCGCTGGCACAGCCAGAAGGTAACAGGCCCGAGCAGGGAATAATCCCAAGAGGGGAAAATTTTAAGCAGAGGGAGAAAAAAAAACATGCCTAGGAGCAACTATGAAGGGACTTGAACCCTCAATCTTCTGACTCAGAATCAGACACCTTATCTATTAGGCCCCGCAGACACCCCCCCACCAAAGACAAGTGCACAAGCTTGTCCAGGACTGCATCTGTTGTCTATCATACTTAAGTTGTCAATATATGGGGTAGATGTTATTATCCCCATTTAAGAGATGAGGAAACAGGTTCCGAAGGTTTTGTCACTAGCCTGAAGACAAACTACTGGTGAGTGGTGAAGCTGGGCTTCAAACCTAGTAAGTGTCGTCCTAGAACAGGGGTCAGGACACTTTTTCTCTAACAGGCCAGAGAGCAAATATTTTAGGCTTTGCAGGCCTACACAAACACAGACCCTGTCACAGCTACTCAAGTCTGTCACTGCCGCACAGAAGTGGCCAAATAGAAAACATAAACAAGTGGATGTGTTCCAATAAAACTTTATTTGTGGACACTGACATCTGAATTTCATGTGCTATGAAGTATTCTTTTGCTCCCCCCAACCATTTAAAAATGTGAAAATCACAGGATGTACAAAAACAGGCAGCGGGGCTACAATTTGCCGATCTGTGCTCCAGAGCCAATGCACTCAACCACTCTGTTTATTGTCTTTTTTTTTTTTTAGACTCACCTAGAGTACATGCCCTTGACCAGAATCGAACCTGGGACCCTTCAGTCTGCAGGCCGACGCTCTATCCACTGAGCCAAACCAGCCAGGGCTGTTTATTGTCTTTAATAGTAAAGACCAGTGTTGGGATTTGTCCCGGACTCGCCACATCTACCTACTGTCACACAGACATGGCACTTCAGCTGCAGAGGAAACGAGCACAGGACAGGCGCTCACCCTACACCACACACGGCTCGCAGCACTGACACACATGAACGTTAACCTGCACTAGTCAGCAGCGCGGAGCCTCCCCTTTTTAGAGGAAGGAGTGAAGCATGGAGAGTTTAAACTGCTTGCCTGAGGTCACCCAGCTGTGTGAGTGAGAGGGGAGGCCAGGATTCGAACCCGGGCTATCTATATTGAACTCTACCGTTGCTAGGCTGGAGCCCAGCCTGGGCCCAGAGCCAGACTGTCTGGGTTTGAATACGACAATGCACTGCACGTAAGCCCTTGGCACGCAGTCTGGAACGCATTAAGGGTTGATAAATGTTCGCTGCTAATATCATTAAGACCATTGTTACCACCACTATGGGCTAGCCATGTGGCCTTCAGCAAGTCGCTGTCGCTGTCTGGGCCGTGGCTAGGTCTCTAAATAGCTTCCAGCTTCCACATTTTTCAGCCCTCTGAGGTCACAGAGGGCTCCCCTTTTCCTTGTGTCTGAAGTTGAGTTCAAACTCCTTGAGCTGGCCCTGAGGGGTTCAGGATCCTGGCCTGGGGGCCACACACGAGAAGAGGTGGGGCAGCGCGCAAGGGGGGAACAGCGCACAGGACGCTGAAAGGGCTGCACAGCTGGAGAGCTGGGAGCTCTTTCTCCCAGCCACAGAGCTAACTATTTCTCACCAAAAGATCGATTCCGTTCCCCTGTAATTCTATCAGGCAAGAAGGGGGCCCCAAATTAAGTCTGGAACTAGCAAATGGTCTTCTAATTGCACCCTCTGATTTCCCATCTGATGAACAGAATGCAGATGGAAGAAAATGCAAGCCACAAAGAGACAGGGGCCAGGGAGCCCATGAGCATAACTCCTCCTGACATTTCACACAGCTCTGCTGTTCCAGCGGTGGCGGGGCGCAGTGAGTCGGTGTCTAGGAATGTGAGCAGGAGGCTGCAGGCGTTCCCTGCTCCCCCCACTCCCCTCACAAAGGACTCAGTGGGTGGGTGGGTAACCAGTGAGAGGTCGTCTCAAGGCCACAGAAACTGCCTCCCCCTAAAGAGGGGCAGCCACGTCTCTTACGTTTTGAGCTGAAGCAGAAGCCCCGCCTGAGTGGGACCCATTTGCCTCCCGTAAACCCAGGCTTCAGGAGGAACCCCTGGAGGACGGATCACCAGATGTGACAAGCGGCTGGCCATTCAGACCCAAGGGTGTTGTGGTTCCTCGGGGCCAACTTCCAAGGGCCCCAGCCACCCTGAACTGGAAGGTGAGAGGTTGCTCTGGAGGAGACACTTCCCCCTGTTGCCCTTGGATACGGGTCCTGCATGGGAAGCTGCTCTTCTAGGTCCCCAGAACAGCTGGCAGGGGATTCAGCAGTTACAGCTGCCAGAGGCATCCGCACGGATTCTTGGACGGGCAGTTAAGGACAGGATAAGATGGCAGGAAAGGTGTTAATCTCCTGCACATTTCACAAGTTGGGAACCTGGCTAGAAGCCAAGCAAACTGACTCCTCGGAACCAGCTAAGACACAGGGCTGAACCAGCTAAGACGCAGGGCTGAAGGCATCTATGAGAGGCCAGCAGCCCAGCACGAGCACTCTGGGGAGGAGTGGTCAACGAATAACCCCAACTTCTCCAAAGAAGGCTTTGGTCAGGTAAGGTGCGACCCAAGGAACGATGTCCACCTGGGGCCTGCTATTGGCTGGGAGGACTCCGACCAGGGAAGGGAGCTCCCGGAGACACTGTAGCTTCTGAATCCTGAAAGGTGAGCATTGCCACCTCCATTTACTGACCATTTTTCTTTTCTTTTCCTTTTCTTAAAATGTATTTTTATTGATTTCGGAGAGAGAGAGGGAGAGGGAGAGGGAGACAGAAACATCAATGATGAGAGAGAATCATGCCCCCTATTGGGGATCGAGCCCGCAACCAGAATTGAACCGGGACCCTTCAGTCCACAGGCCGACGCTCTATCCACTGAGCCAAACCAGCTAGGGCAAGGCTTGGACGATTTTAGACTTCAGAAATGACACTTACAGACAGAAGTCTTATTCCATGGCCCCACTTCCAAAGAAAAGCTCTTGCCTGGGAGAATACTACAGAGCAAAGAGATGGTGATGATGCACACCAGAAGGGCTTGACCCAAGTGTCCAAAGAGAAAGGTGGTCATTCGCCAAAAACATCATTCTCCCAGCAAACACCGAGTACCCACTGGGTTCTAGGTCCTCCACTAAGCTCTGGGATACAAAGCGAACTGGATACGGGGCTCCAGACTTAAAGAATGTCATACTCTAAGAGTGACAGGGCTATCTCTGAGGTCT